TCTCTCTCTCTGTCCCTCCTCTGTTCCTCCCCTGACTCAACCTTCCTAGTCCCACAGAGATTCATGTAAGGTTCCTCACAGAACATATGGGGAGTGGGGGGTAGTGAGTGGAGAGGGAGCTAGGAGAAAGAGAAGGGGAGTAGAGGAAAGCTCGTGGGACTAGCTGTCAGTATTCTTAACTGTGAGCTCATGTATTATTTTCAGCACATTTAATTTGTCCATTGTGTATCAATTCTTATTGTGAGTTAAAATTAGGAAACCCATAGTAAAGGTATGATTAAGTTACGTTCAAAGTAACATGTATTTTAATACACATAAAGTCAATACTAATAATTCTGTACCACATGTCCTTTTGCACATTTTCTGTTTTATTTATTTTGTTTTATTTATTTGTTTTGTTTTTAAAATTGTTTTGAAACACAATTCATATTATTTACACACACACACACACACACACACAAGGATGGAGAGAGAGAGGGAACTGGGATCAATATGTAAAATAAGAAAAAAATGTAAGAGCTAGTTTTATATACTCTTTCCACCTACCAGTATTGATTGTTATTAAGAAAATGAGCTATTTATGCACACAACATTCACAGGATGACTTGTCAAGTGAAAAAAATGCAAGCATAAATCATATGTATGATATTAGTCTATTTATATAAAACTACAAAATTTGGCCTGACTTATGGTGACATGAAGATTATCATTGTGGTAAGGATTTCAAAGGGGCACCAGGAAACAAGAAGTGATAACTTCTTTATGAAAACTGTTTAACAAGCATATGCATACATCAATCAACTTGTATGGATTGTAAACCTAAACTTGTGTGTTGTTTATTGTCTGTCAATTAGCTAGGCATTGGTGGCACAAGCCTTTAATCCCAGCACCCAGCATTCAAGTGGCAGAGGCAGGAGGATCTTTGTGAGTTCAAGGCCAGCATGGTCTACAGAGCTAGTTCCTGGACAGGATCCAAAGCAATACAGAGAAACCCTGTATCAGGGAAACAAAACAAAATGACAAAAACAACAACAACAACAACAAACCTATTTACTTTTAAAACTCCACTTAGTCACATCCAAGAAAGTGGAGATAATTACTTTAGTTCTGTATAATTACTTTTCTTGTTTAAGAAACTGATCAGATATATTGACAATAATTTTAAACCTAAAATTACTTAAAAGAAATTCAACTATATTTGTTGCAAATAAATCATTACAAAATTTCCTAATAAAATAGTACCAACTAGAAGACTTTAAGTTCAAATGAGATTTTAAATTTGAGTCTAAATCATTGCTAAAGATCTATGCTATACCTGTACAGGGTAACCAATACAGTTAAAATGAAAAAAATCTGAGATTGCAAAAGTGCCACAAATAAGACTTGATGGGCTTAAAAGAGAGAGTGGACACAGGTGTGTTGGTAGTAAAAGTTGGTGGAACTGAGAGTGTTTGTAGGAAGAAAATGAATATGATAAAAAATCAGAGCAGAAAATTCTCAGAGCTGATTAAAAAAAGAAAGAAAGAAAGAAAGAAACCTAGAAAAACGCACAGTTAAAACAACTTTATCAAAAATCCCGGTGTGGTAGTTCATGACTGTAGTTATCAACAATTGGGAGGATAAGGGATTCAATGCTAACTTCAGCTTTACAATACCATACTTCAAAATACTCTTGAAAATGGCTTTGTTGAGATAAAATTCACATGCTATACAATTTGCTCATTGAAGCTCTATGTTTCATTGTTTTAAAATGTTGACAAACATGTGCAACCATCACCATGATTTGATTCTAAAATACTTTTCTTTCTTTACGATTTTTATTTTGTGTACATGGATGCTTTGCTGACATGCATGTCTATTTGAGGGTGTTAGACCCTCTGGAACTGTAGTTACAAATAGTTGTGAGCTGCCATGTGGGTGCTGGAAGTTGAACTTGAGTCCTCAGAAAGAGAAATGTATTCTCTTAACAACTGATCCATCTCTCCAATCCCCTCTAAAATACCTTTATTTATTTATTGTTGTTTTTTTCAGACAGGATTTCTCTGTAGTGTTTTGGGGCTTGTCCTGGAACTAGCTCTGTAGACCAGGCTGGCCTCACACTTAAAGAGGTTTGTCCACCTCTGCCTCACGAGTGCTGGGTGCTGGGATTAAAGATATGTGCCACCAATGCCCGGCTTTTTTTTTTTTTTTTTTTTTTTTTTAATAGCCATAGTCTATGAAGCACAGGATTTTCCTTTAGAGTATTGAAACTGTTCTTACAGTAGATATTGGTAGTAGTTGTACAATATTATGAAGGTACAAAGAAGCCTACTGAACTGTAAATTTGAAAATGTTATTTTATGTTAACCTGAATTTGAAAATATTTGCAAAAATGTTGCATGAATGCAACATGCCTGTAAGCACCCATTATACCATCCATCTATACCAGCCTTGGGCAGGCACAAATCACATTTACAACTCTGTAGATTTGCCTAGTCTAGAAATTTCTTTTAAATGAAATCATACAATATGTTCTCTTTTGCCACTGGCTTAGTTTCACAAATATTTTCAGTTTTGTTCATATTGTTAACATATGCCAGTATTCAAAACTTATTAAAAAATATCCCACCTGTAGATATAAAATATTTCATTTATCTATTCCTTCCTTGATAGACATTTAGCTTGTTTCCACATTTCACTCTTTATAATATGGCTATCAACATTCATATACATAATCTTATGTGGATATATGACTTCATTTGTGTTGGGTATATACCCAGGATGTATAGTGCTGTATCAGCTAGTAGCACTATGTTTAAGCACTTGAGGATTTACCAGATTGTTTTTCAAAGACCTTACACCACTTTACATTTGTTTCACCAGGGTGTGAGGTTACAATTTCTCCACATCTTCACCAGCATAATTTATAGCTCATATTATATTTAAGCCATCCTAAAGACTATGACATAGGGTCACATGGTTTAGATCATGGGTCCCCAATTTTATCAATCTATAGATTAGATTTGAGCAAATACATGTAGCCTGATTGTCACAGGATAATTATAAATTATATGAATTATGGTATGTATTGTACTATTTGACTTTCACACACAGTGCTATAATATGTACTTAAGAAAACACTTGAGCAAAGCATGTTCACATATGCCTACAGTTCTATCTGTTTTGGATGCTGAAGTAGGAGGGTACTTTGGGCACAGGAATTCTAAGACTAGCCTGGACAACATACAAGACTGTCACAGAAAACAAACAAACAAAAAACACGGGAAAGTACATATTACAAGTACTATGAAAATCATACTTATTTCTACTGCATGATTCTTGGTGGGACAGAAGGGAAATTGTGCTCATACTTATCACTATCCACTATATACAATACTGGAAGAATGCTTACCTTTTTGCTGCCAAATCTGTTGTAGGATATTTTATACTGTGTGAAGATGTATTCCTGTGATTGGTGTAAGAAAAACGGCCAATATCTAGGCAGGAGAGATAGGTGGGTTTCTCAGGGATAGAAAGGATAAGATGGAGGAATCTAGGCATACAGGAGATGCTAGGAAACATAGTGATGACACAAAGATACAAGATGGAAGAGAGGTAATGCTATATAATTGAACATAGATTAATATAAATGGATTAATTTAAGTTATAAGAGCTAGTTAAGAAAAATCATAAATGATAAGGCTTTCATAACTAATAATAAGTCTCTGTGTCATTATTTGGGAGCTGAATAGAAGGACAAAAAAGACTCATTACATCAATCCTTAACTGTAGTCTCAATATTTGTCTTTACACCCAAAGATAAGTATATTCTCATCCTGCATCAAAGAAACTTCTCTTTGCAACAGACAAAGATCATTACAGAAATCTGTAACCAATCAAAATGTAGAGTTGTGGAGCCTAGACACAGTGGATACATCTACAAAACAACCCACATACCCAAGGTTCATGGAACATTATAGAATAGATATAAATATTGCTAAGAGACAGAGGAACAGATTGAAAAGATTGTTTATTGTATGAGGTTGTATCTTCCAGGGATGTAGGAGACTATAACCACCCATAAAGTTTTACCAACATGACTGTGTAAACATGAGATGAACAAGGACAACAACAATAGATATGCTAAAGTGGCTGGAGGAAAGCCCAAGAGGGCCCAGCTCCATACAAAGAACTACAGGCAACTAAGGGATACTGAGAGTGGGAGAAATAGCCTTCCCCAGGTAAGAGGACATCAATTGGTTATCCACACCAAATAGTCAGACCAGAAAACATGCAAATAAATAACATTGTATAAAACTGAGCTGATTGTATTTATGCATTTAGAAATATGTACCTTTTTACATGTACATAAATAAAAACAATTACTGAAAAGGAGAGACAATGAATTTGAAAGAGCAAGAAGGATTTAGAGGGAGGAAAAGGAAGGGGCAATGATGCAATTGTATTATACTCTCAAAATAAATAATAATTATAATGAAAACACAAAGCCAAATTAATCGAACTCATAGCTACACAACAAGATTGTAAGAAGACAGGGAAAAACATTGACAGAGGTGCTAAACTGAAGGATCTATCTCTTTCAGAAAAGCAGTGGATGCTGAAACAAATAAACAAATAAACACTAACAAGAATCAACAGTTATTTTGGCAGAATATCAGATTTCTACTACTACCCTAACATTATACTTATGACATACGAAGGTTGTTTGATTCCCATGCAGTGAACAGATATTTACCTAGCAAACTTAGATGTCACCTGCAAAGTTTAAAGGTCTGCTCTTACCAGTATAGAAACAGTGGCCTAGGCTTTGGAAACATGATCAATATTCTTTGAAAACTTTGAGGGGATCATTACATTTTGATGGCATCCTCCAAAACACTCACAAAAGACTATTAGATACTTGAAAATAAGTATTTTAAGGCAGATATCACTCTAGATTTCTCCATCATATTAAGTCTTAGAGAATAGAATGACTTCAAGTTGCAATGAAAACTTTATTTAGAATTCCCCTAGCATGATTTATTGATTAATTGCAATGATATCAAAGAAAAACAAACAACTGGGCTCCTATACCTTATTTCACCTTCTCTAATGTGACCTGCCAGTTCTTCAATAAACTTCTCTCCTTTCATCCAATATATCATTGGTCCAGACTCTCCACTGAATCCAAAGAATGCTTTACAAGGGATGTTCAGAGGTTTACCTGAGAAGAGAAAACCACAATAAATAAGTAAATCTTGTGAGACAGGGATGAAGAGTTGACATACAAAGAAAAACTCAGAGGTGCCAAATTTTCCAACAATTCTTGCATGTGAGAAAAATTATTATGATGGTTTGGGGGGAAATTATAAAATTCAAACTATTATAAAAATTGAAAAGTAAGTAAATTATTACTCTATGGCATTTTAATTATACTGTACCTCTCCCAAGTATTAATATGAAAAAATCAATTAGAAATTAGAAATTATCCCTAATTATTTTTCTTTCTTGAGAGTATTAAGTATTTATTATGTGGACTTGCCTTTAAAATTAGTTATTTAAGAGCATAAATTAATTATTTGTGAGAGAGAAGACATATAAATAATAGATTATCCACTATTAAAATCATATAGGCTTTAATTTGTTCCCGTTACAACCTAATTTAAGAAAAATGATACAGAATGGTGGTTTGAGTCTTCTGTTGATTTGAAAAGTTTAAGGAATACTTCAATATCTGGTCATCATTATTTCTGGTCACATATATGATACCTTTTTCAGAAGAGATTGACATCATTATGGGCCCACTTGAAGCTATATACCTCATGTGTGCCCAGGTGAAATTGAAAAGCAAGAATGTGACTACAGATCTCCTTGTTTTATCTTGCCTCAACTCACCTCTCTGGTATATGAAAAGTACATTGTGTCTGGGTAGGAAGGCCAGAAGTCAAGTACCTTTTCTAAATTTTTGTGACAGGGTCTCTTATTAAATATGAAGTGTATCTTTCCAGATGGCAAAAAATGTCCCTAGAATCTGCTTGTCACCAGCTTCCAGCCCAGGGACTACAATTGGGTTATGCTGCCATGTCCAGGTTTTTGTATAGGTAAAGGGATCTTAACTCAGGTCCACTTGTTTATGCAGTAAGCAATTTACTCACTCAGCGATCTCCCCAAATCTGTGATGGTTAATCTTGCTTGTTAACTTGATGAGAATAAGAAACTTCTCAGAAATTAGTTGAAAATACCTCTGCTTATGTTCCCAATGCCATTTCTAAAGAAAACTAAATTTGAAACAATCACTTGAACCATGTATGGATTTGTAATGATTGCAAATGTAAAGTTTGTTCAAAGGTGGGTGGTGAAGTCTATTGGAATAAGTAAGTTAATAGTGATAGGCTGTTGAGCTATAGCATACTCTGTGCATACCTTCCTTGCTATTTATTTCCTATATGTCAAGAAACAAAGAAGTATTTCTTTCATTGTAGCCTTCCTGCCTCCATGTTTCCTGCCCAAGTTTTATAGGAGGCCAAGCTCCAAGGAACTGAATTTTATGAATATATAAGCCTAAATAAATTCTCCTTAAAAGTTTCTTCCCCATTACTGTGATCACAGTGGCACAACAGTCACTAATGGGAAATTGTCCTACCCTCTCTCTCCTAGACCCTAGACACTCTTCTTCTCTTCATTTTTAATACTAGGACTAGACTCTCTTGCGCTTAGACTGAAAGATAGCCACTAACAACTCAAAAGCTCTTACGTTTTCAACTTCTGCCCTGAGAACTATACCAGAAGCTTCCCTGGTTCTACTATTTCAAGACTTGCTACTGTCTTGCTTGTTTAGTTTGCAAAAGTATGCTGGGTTCTGTTTTGATACCATAATCACATGCACTTGTCTCTTTAATAAATTATCTGCCATCACATTGATTCTGCATCTTGTAAGGACCTTAACTCAAAAAATGAAAATTAAAATGTGAATTATGAATATGTCTATAAATACATCTACAGGAAAACACTCTTGCCATATATTTTGTATTCTTTAGATAATTTACATTGCTTAAATAATTCTACATAAGAATTTTTGGGCTCTGTTATGTGTATTTTAATAATAAATCCTCATCAGATATATAGGCATTTATAATTGTGCTAGAATTAATTATATGGCTTTTTATGCAATGTAAATTAATATGGGAAGGATGGTATAGAAAATGCAATGCTGCCATTTGACATATGAATCCCTCAATTTATAATTACATTATAGTGCCTTCGTTAGGGTTTCTTTTGCTGTAATGGAACACCATGACCAAAAAGCCTGCTCACAATGGCTTGCTCAGCCCGCCTTCTTATAATACCCAGGACCACCAGGGATGGCACCACCCACAATGAGCTGATCCTCGTTCCATTCATTGATCACTGATTAAGAAAATGCCTTACACCCAGTCTGGTGGAGGCATTTTTTCCCGCTAAGGCTCCTTCCTGACTCTTTATTCTAGTTTGTGTCATGTTGACAAACAAAACCAGCCAGCACACAGCGCATAAATTTTTCTCCACAAACATTTTTCTATTGTTTAGAGGACTAGATAAAACCATTTCAAAACTAATTTTCTTGGGGAGCTTCCATCCTCCTTTTGTGCCATATACAAAGTCCTCATTCTATCTTAAACTTATCCATAGTTTTCATGTTCTAAGAACTATTACTTTCTGAATCCAAATATCTTTCATCACCACAACTAGAAAATGACTATCTTTGAGGATTGTTTTCAGAAAGGAACAACTAAATTGAAGTTAGAGTATATGTTAGGACAATGTGGAGTACAGGGAACCCACAGACATACAAATATTGGGCAACAGGTTAGGCTTAGCCTCATAAAAGATATGTTGACAAGTATTTATTATAATATTAACATATCCCTTCTCAAATTTCAGATCCTGGAACTTTGGATACTTTTTTAGTTGTCAAATTTGTCAAGGTCAAGAATCTACACAAAATAATTGATACAAATTAGAGGCTATGTCTTTGAACACATGCTCCATCAAAGGTTGGGTAAAACTGATATAGCTGTGCATTATAGAAAGTACATTCGACTAAAGTTCAGGAAATTTGGATTGTATGTTTAGATCTATCATGACCATTGCCCCTGAACTGATAATCCTAACCTATCTTTATGTTAAGTAATTTCTTATGCATGCAATGAGGTTGGTAATAATCTTGGATAGCTCAAAGAAAACAATGCATATCAAAGTTCTTCATGAATTCAAAAACATCATCAGAAGTTAGCGCAATGTAGCTCAATGGGATGGTGGCATATCCCAGTACTTGGAAAACAGAGGCCAGAAGAAGTCTACAAAATGAGTTCAAGAACAGCCAGGGATGTTAAATGGAGAAACCCTGACTCAAAAACAAAACAAAAATATAATTTAGTTCAGTGTTTTTTGCCTTCTGAGACTTGATTGTCCATGGAGAAATTAAATTTGAGGACAAGTCTGATATGGTCTTGAGATAGAGATACTTTCATTTTGATAGTATCAATCTTATGTTCTTTTATTTATGAATATCTGTGGGACAATATATTTTCAACATTTTCTTATAAATTTTGATTGCATTTAGAATATGTATGATTAACCTGGAAAGACCCTATGTTTTCTAAACATGAACATATTCTTCCTTCCTAAGCCTTTTTCCTTTCATTCTCATGACATTGCAAATATATCAGGAACAATAAACCAGGTTATAGAAAAATCAATAGATTATGATAAATTTTGGTATTAGAGATTCTAATCACTGAAACTATCAACATACATAATTATAGACATAGACATTAGCTATTGTCCTTTTGAGCCATGTTGGAAAATATAATATATAACATATATTTATATTAAAATGTCTTTAAGTGTTTCTTAGTATGTGGGTACCCATGCCAGGAACGACTTTAAAGGAGAAAGACAATTATTGTAGTGTATAAAAAGAGGGGCTTCTTGAAGTGTTCCATTAAAAATAGCAGTGTGTGCCCTTTCCCTTGACACTGCACCCAACATACTGGCCATTGAAGCAATTTGTCTTGCAAGTAATTTTTCTCTTCCCATCAGAAAGATCCTTGTTAAATAAACAGAAGAGACAGATATTTCAGAAGTTTATTTTATACAATGCTGAGTAAATATCCTCAAGCCTTATGTTGATGGTCGCAAACAGTAAAACTGTTCAACCATCATCTGTCACATTGGAAGCAGAGTTCCCAAGGGATCTTTTATCAGTAATGTTCAGTATGTGCTAAGGACTAGGGATCTGCTCTTCCAAGAAGCATGGAGTGCTGCCTACATTGATTTGGCAATTAATCTAAAACAGAATCTTTCTAGGTATCTCTGATACCTTCCCGATGTGTCAAATCCTATGTAAAAGTGGCATCTGTTAACTACTCTATTGTTTTGTCTCCAGACAGTTTGAAAATCATTCTGTAACTGTGTGTCTTATTTGTCAAGATAGCCACTTCACATTTATACTAAGCAGTCAGAAGACTATCAAAATGAAAAGAACTGTGTCATGTGGTACCACAGTACTAAGTAATAAGGTAGGAGATGTTTATTTTATTTTAGTTTAGTTTATGGAAGTGGATTACAAGGACTGGTTCAGTTCTCCTTTGCCTTAACATTACTTCAGTTTTTTTTTTCTCAAAGAACTCTCTGAGAATCAGCATTTGGAAGATTGCTTTGAGACCTTGAAAATCTAGCCATCACAACCAGCTTAATTATTTTGACAGTTATTACTTTACCGGATTTTGTCTTGAAACAGATGTACTCAAGATAAGGATGGGCTCAGGAGGAATGTCTCTAAAGTGGTAATACAAATATTTATAACCCATGAGAGCTTCATCTCCCCTCTTTTCCCTTTTCATCACCCATCTCCTCCCCTTCCCTCTCCTGCATTCCCATCCTCCTCTTTTGGAGATTGAACCATGGCGGTTGTTCTATGCTTCAGAGCCCATGAAGCCTGAACTTTTCACAATGTGATTATGATATAAGAAAATTAAAATACACTGAAGTCTGTGATGCCTGATGCCTGTAATGGCAGTAGGGTTTGTGTGGCCCTGTATGGAAGTAGGTGGGAAGAAGAGTATAACAGTGGTAAAATGATGGATTCCAATGTTATTATTACAAACTCTTCTGAATAACAAAGATATCTATCAGTAGTTTTCTGACAAATATTTCACAACTGCTGTCTTATAAATAAGAATG